GATGACGAATCTCCCACTGCAGACCAACATACAGTATTTACTACTGTATTTATGTGAATAGAGAAATACACATTATCGTCCGTAGGTATGCTACAACACCATAAAATCGACGACGACGGTTTTGCTTCAAGGAACTCTCAATATAATGTGTTAATCCACTGATTAGCTGTATCTTCTGACCAGATAAGAAATATGTGGAATGAAACCTGAGAAATTCTGCAATTGTTCGGTTTTAATATTACTTTCGAATATGAAAAAAAAAACTTCCCACTGCTGTCTCATCATCATGTGTTGAATCACATTTTAATATGCATTAAAAATCTTTGGTCAAACTAGTTGTTCAGCAAAAATGTTTTTATTGTATCATTCAAACGAGCCAATTGCTCACTATAGCTTCTGCACAGTAAAGATCTACCCAAGTTCCATTAACTTGTAATAAATAAAGACAACTAAGTCTGAGAAGAATAAGTTTTTCTTTGATTGTGTTGCTGAACGTTGTCCGAGATTAAGCCACTATTTTTGTTACAACGGAACCGGAAACCCATTTTCATCACAAGTATCCATTGAGCAGAAAAATAAGATCCTGAGTGATAACAAATAGACAAACGTTTATAAGGATGCTCTAAGCTTATTTGCATCAATTCATATTAAAGCCATTATCGGAATTTCTACCCTTAAAGTAATGACATATTATTCAGAAAGATAAGACGATGAATGAGACACCAACATCTGAAGCATACCGTTCACAATGTAAGCAAATAATTAAGACAGATGAAAATATTGTCAGAAAGAAGAATGTGTTTTGAAATCATATATAATATCTCAAATCTGGCAATGAAGGTTGTTCAATTCCTCATAGATTAATAGGTTTGAAGGGAGAGTGTTGTACCACTATCAAAGAATATTATGATGAACAAAATAAATGAGCAATGAGGGACTAATTAGTGGAAACTTATTTTTAAAATTACATATATATATATATATATATATATATATATATATATATATATATATATATATATATATATATATTTTGTGAGTTTTTCTGTCTGAGTTAGAAATGAGGAACCGAGAGATCGATTCTAACGGAATAAACTAATACCATAACTGTTTAACGTATTCGTTTACACACACACACACACACACACACCTATATATATATATATATATATATATATATATATGATCGAAAAAACGTATAACATTTAATATTACAAGACATATTAAACAATAAAAAAATATTTTTTTAAATTTTTTATTGTTTAATATGTCTGTAATATTAAATTTTATACTTATTTCGGGATCATTAAATTTTATACCTACAAAAATATATATATATATATATATATATATATATATATATATATATATATATATAATTATTTATTTAAGAATATGATTTCAATTTATTTAAAAATATGATTCCATATTCTCTTTAAATAAATAATTATATTTTATGCTCTACTTTTTATCGAGCACTATTTTTTTAAAAATAATAACTAAAATACTAAGGGACTTTGGATTATTTACCTATTAGTTATATATTTCACACACACACACACACACACACACACACACACACACACACACATATATATATATATATATATATATATATATATATATATAATCTAAGGAACAATTTTTTCAATATTTTTATTGTTCAGTATATATATATATATATATATATATATATATATATATATATATATATTATAACCCTTTGTTATCTCCTATCTTGGGAGAATTGTTTAATCGCTTTATGATGGAAAAGTCTTTCCCAAGAATATGTTAGTTGTCAAGTGTAGACACTCTTTGCAATAATGCAGGTGAGAACTCATCGCCTTCACGGTATCGCCGATCAGCCTTCTTAGTCTCATTAGCACACTACAGAATGCTGTTTGTCATCTCAACAGAGACAACCTCCTGAGCGAGACACAATACGAATGTCGGTCTCCTCAGTTCACTGGTGATATCCTGACTCTCATTAAAGAATCAGTGTGGCATTAGACATTAAATACACCAGGATAACGTTCAAATTAGAAACATCAAAGTTTTTCGACAAAGCATGCTATACAGGTGTGCTAAGCAATCTTTCCAGGTATGGAATCACCGGAAAAATATTCTCAATTATCAAGCGTTGCCTAACAAAAGTCCATGAGATTGATTTAGGCGGGAGATTTCTGATTGCGATTTTGCCTCTCTTTTAACTTTATATTAATGATCTGCCAAGTGAATATCTATGCAGATGATACGACGGTATATGGGTGCACGTTGGAAAAAACACACTAGATAACCAGGACCTGGCAAAATATCTCTAATGCATCACTAAAATCTCAAAACTACCTTGTCACATTCAATACTTCAAAAACCAAAGTAGTAACGTTCCATCATCTTCGAGCAGACCATGATGTCCGTGTATCTTTATGAACTGGTGTTCTCGTAATGAGAGCTATTGTTTTGAAAGCCTATTGGACTTCAAGTGGAAGTCGGGTACACGATCCATCGATAAAGAGGCTGGAAAATTGTTCGGCTCTCTGTACCATACTAGTAAGTACCTGACTCGTACTATGCTCAAACTTTACAGGCCGAAAATGGTGTGATGCTGCCATATCTGATATGGAACTTTCCATTATTGATAGAGTCAAAAAAGCGTCTACGCTGCATTTTTGGTGATGAATTTTGTTCTATCATAGACCCCTTTCCCACAAAACGATACTCTATCGCTATTTCCATGGAAAATGTTCAGAGGTGGAACATTCTTTAGTTCCACCAGCTCTAACCCACTCGGTAAGATTCTCCGTAGACTGAGACGACCTACGTATATTCTCTTCGCATTCCATTAGTAAGGAAGAAGATCAGCTTTGATAGCTATTTCCCACGAACTGTTAATTTGCGAAAATGACTTGCAAGAAAATGATTTCTCGAAAATATCTGAAACTGTTCAATTCTAGGGTCAGCCGTTAACTTTTCTACATATCCCCATATAATGCGTGTCTTATATCTTATTTTACTGCTCAGACAACAACTTCATTCACTAAGTCTCTAACTGGAGTGGCTCTTGGGCTTTGTGTTGGGAGAGCAATAGTAAAATAAAAGTCAATATGAAAGGCTGCTGAAAATTCTCAGGCCGACATATTTTCCGTAATCTAAGCAAATTTTCAATCACTATAATTTGTTTTTATCGTGAGATTCTTTAAAACCAATGAATTTAGATATAAAAATCATTGGGTCTAAAAATATATATATATATATATATATATATATATATATATATATATATATATGTATAATCATTGCTTTTAAAGAATCGCACTTGATATATATATATTTATATGATATATATATATGTGTGTCTGTGTGTTGTGTGTATCTGTGTGTCTGTGTGTGTCTCATTTAGCAAGTGAGATTCTTTGAAACCAATGATTATATATATATATATATATATATGTGTGTGTGTGTGTGCGTGTGTGTATGTGTGTGTGTATGTATAATAAAAAAGTTAATGGTCATTAGAATTAGACCAGGAAAAAGTAATATTAAAACATGCTCAATACACGTATAAAATATATTTAATTAAACATATAGAGATTTTAATTATCATAATTAGGAGCTCAGTCGATTACACTAAGTTGGATTCGCATTAGGCTGATCTATTAATATATATATATATATATATATATATATATATATATATATATATATATATATATTCTCTATTACAATTCTGTATTAAATTTTAAATTCGCTATATAGATAGATTCTACACTAACAGTTCGCACTTCTGGACTAATCTGCAAAAAATAAATACAATGGCAATCGCTATCAATTGGCCTTCTGATTACTCTGTTCTCTTCCTATTCATTATTAAAGTTTGTGTTCCCTATTCTCCCACTACCTGTAACCACTTGTGTCATAGTGGCTTTAATGCCTAGCATGGGGTGATATCGACTAAAAAGTTATGCGCAGAAACCACAAATATATATATAATTATTTATTTAAAAATATGATTCCAAATCGCTACATAAGAGGTCTCATGTTTCAAAACAAGAGCCGAAAACTTCAATATAATCCTTTAAATTAAATTGAGTTGAAAGTAAAATGGGCTCCGTTCCATCTTCAAGCGAAATTTTTTGTTGGAATAACGTATATCTGAAATTTACTTGTTTTAAAATTGAAATCAAAATCCCCATGGTAACAGCTATGGTGAATTGTCTAAATTGGGTAGGCGAGTGTAGGGTGTTTATAATAAGTAGCGGTATAGAGATACTTTCAAGGTGTCAAGTCAGGGGAAAGTTAGAGGTGTCAAAAATGAAACGGAAGATGTATTGGCCATCGTCTAGTTTTCTTGTTTATGGAGATTTATTTATTTTATTTTATTTTATTTTATTATGAAAGGAATTGTGCATATAAAAAAAGAAAAACTTTCGTAACGTTTGTTTTTGACGACTTCATAAAGGGTTATCTTATATGTAAGGTATTTAAACTACTAATTTAGGCTATGGATTATGAAGTGTGTTATGTTGTATGCATGTTTGTAGTTAATTATTCCTACTATGAATCTGATGATTGGGCTATTTGTTAAGCAAGTTATATAAATTTTTTTATCTAATAATTCAAACCAAAAATCTGATGATGCCTACAAAAAACCGTTAACTCGTGTCTATTATTTAATAGAACTACAGAAGTTAAGCAATTTCTTAAAAGGATACAATTAAACAGGTATTTTTTTTTTTTTAATTCAATACAACAGAGAAGCCAACGTTAACTGTACAAGGCAAAACATTTACATGTGATTTATTCGGAGTGCGATCGACGATGGCGTGTCTTGACCTGATTGCTTTTGGCAAAATATGGCAAATCGCAGAAATGGATCCAGAAAGCAAAGCGCTGACGCATTTATACTGAAATAGACATGAGCTCCACCACACGCATGTACTTAAAATGACACAAATTGTATCGAATATCAGTATTGGCTACAGTAAAGACATTTTGGTCGAATGCCAGGGAACCTATCAAATAAAAGAGAGAAGTGCCTTCTTACTTTTCTGTTCAGACAGGAGGATTCGAAACGTGATACGATGCCAATTGGCGGGAAAGAGAAATACGCCGGACATTGTCCATTATCAGGCGGTCAGCAAACTACTTATATTCAAAGTAACAAAAACAAACAACAACCAAAAAATGTAAACTTTTTGTTCCATTCCACGAAATTCCGATCGATTTGAAAACAAAACATTTTGAAAATGTTCTTTTGCTAAAATCTACATACGAGCGAACCAGTAAAAATTTGCAACCTAATCCTTTATAGTGATTTTCCAAGCGTAGTTTACATGTGGCACAAGGCCGAACGGATGGGGCACCCAGTGAGGATCGAACTCACGTCTCAGTCATAATTGTTTTAGCGGCAGAAGCTTGCTAACCATTGCACTACACCGAGGTGCCCCACTGATTTTCTAAGCGTAGCTTAGATGTGGCACAAGACCGAAAGGACACATGGCACAGTGGATAAAGGCGTTGGTTAGATCCAGTGGCAGGACGCAAAGTGTGTGAGTTCAATACCCGGTTAAGGCAGGGAAATTAACAGGAGATAACTAATAACTGATATCCATCAAACATGGCACGTGGAACTAGAACAGTGAACGAAATAAAGGATTCAGTTCGACATTCCAACCACCTGAAGAAGGCCGGAGCGTACATCGGCCGAAACGGTGTGATAAATATGGCGGCAAAGATAATGACAATAGTCCGAATAATGTAAATAATGTACATAATACCTCATCTCAGAAATATAGACATAATCCTTTGTATTGATTTTCCAAGCGTAGCTCAGATGTGGCACAAACCCGAAAGTATGGGGCACCCAGTGTATATCGAACTCACTACTCAGTCGTAATTGTTTTACCAACACAAGCTTGCTAACTATTACATCACCTCGAGGTACCCACTTAATCCTTTATATAGACATATACGATACATTGATAAAGGTACTGGAAAAAAAATGACCAGCTCATTATCTCGCCGCGGGTAGTACTTGATTCCTTCTACCATGCCATAATTTTACAAGATTAAGTTAAGAGCAAATATGACCCAAAGTTACTCAATGCTCGTTTCTTAGCTTTGATAACGTTCAAAATCGTTTACGGGGTTTTGTGGCTGATGAATATCTTCCGCACTGCAGCCTACTTCCCACAAACGCAAAGTCGCTAGCATATCGTTATTTTATTGCTATTTCCTCGGCAAATGTTCAGAGAAGCTCCCATTCTTTAGCACCACTAGTTCAGACTTTTACAGTACGCCCTGGGACGTCTATAGATTCGAATAACAATCATGTTATCTCTGTACTTCATACGTCTTTGTGGAACCGACTACCCCGTTAATCCATCCTTGACTATTAAAATTTTAAATGCTACAAGACAGCGGTGAATTTACATATATCATCCTCATCCTCACAATATTCAGATACTGCTATCTCTAATGTTCAATCACACACCTCCTTCAGTCACATTCTAACTTGAGTGGCATGTATTGAATGAATTTTAGTATTAAAAATACCTTTCCTTGCATTAAGATGAAGCATAATCATTAAACAATCTTTATGGAAATTTCCATCCTTCAATCTGAATCAAGTTGGCACCTAAACCCGTGAACTAATATTGATTAAATGTTTCGGTACATGTTAAACTAACATCCAGTTTTTTACGAGGGTAATTGTATTTTTTATAGAAATATCTATAATGGAACCTCAAGGGCTCTTAGACTGCACCTTGCCGTAACTTGTTTAAGGAAGGGAGATTTCGAAATAATAACTCTTATAAAGCTTAAAATTCCAAAAGACAGATATGGACCTTTATTCGATTTTTAAAATTTAGGCGAAACCATCTGAACGAATTGCATGTCATTTTCTAAATAACATCTTAATTTAAAATATTAATTCATGATAATCTTTCTTTGAATACGATCTCCGTGGTGTGCTTACATTGGAAAAAAAACATTAATTCGTTTACATTGCATTTATTTCAGATTTCGCCATGTTCATCATTAAATTTACAACGTTTGAATTTATTAAATACAAAGAAATTGGCTTGACCCATTCGGTCATTTAAACGTAAAATAACATTTAAGTTGAGCTTATTTGCGAATATTTCAAACTACCCTTAAAAAAGCATATCGTTGTTGCGGGTGATATTTGTGGAATGACAATCTCTCTGATGATGAGAATGCTGGTATTTTTTCTAGGCAACTATTGGATGTTGGCAATGGCACTTTGGATGGCGAGAAGTATGGCCGTGTCAGTTTGCCTTTTGGGCATATGGTATGTGATTTAAAGGAACAAATGACTAATGTGTTTCCTAACCTGAAAAATCAGTTTCCAGTCTACAACTGGCTGAGAACGCGTACCATTTTAGCTCCAAGGAATGTGGCAGTTGATGATTTGAACATCAAACTTCTGGAAGAGTTGCAAGGTGAGCGTCGGAGCTACAATTCCATGGACGCTGTACTAAACGCCGATGAAGCTGTGAATTATCCAGTCGAATCTTTGAGTAGCCTAAGACCAGAAGGCCTTCCGCCTCACAATTTGCGCGTTAAGATTAGAGCACCAGTGATGCTAAGAAACATGGATCCACCAAAGCTATGTAATATCACACGACTTAAAATTAAGACGATGATGCTAACAGTCTTGAAGGCGACAATTCTTACTGGCGAAGCAATCGATGAGGCTGTATTTATTCCTAAAATTCTACTTATTTCCTCGGATATGCCTTCCAGTTCAAGCGGCTGCAATTCCCGGTGAAACTGAGTTTTTCAATAACCATTAATCTAAGCGGCAGTTCTTGGATGTGGTACGCCTTAACTTTGCAGAACCGATTTTCTCCCATAGCCAACTTTATGTGGAATTTTCAAGAGTCGGCAATCCCAATCATTTATTTATTTATACTCCAGACGGAAAGACAAAATTGTTGTTTATCAAGAGGCACTGCAAACGTGATAAGAAACGCCGAATCAGCTGTTTATGATTTAATTATACTATTTACCACTTGTAAATATTTTTTTAATCGATATGTTATTCCATTTGTAAATGTAAATATAAATATATTTGCAGGTCTGTTTTGAAACGATATGTCAGTTTATTTTTACTTCTATTGTAAGTTTATTTTAACCCTAGCCCTCCTGAGGGTTATATTCCCTGTGAGCGCACCAAAGCCTTTACCAAGGCTACTTACTGTGAATTGTTACATTCGGATAAGCGTTTTGCCTGTTATTACGTCAGTCAGTTTATGATTTTGGTATTCATAACTTGATATTTCCTCCCCAAATTCTATAGGCGGCGGTTGTGTATTCTTTGTGCTACGTCCAGGAAATATATTACCAGAGACAGATTTTTGACAAAACAAAATATTACCAGCAATAAAATTTTTTGTTAGCATTAAATAACTCATTGAGGTTGATATGCAGTAAAACAAAATAAACCAAACCAATGTAAACCAAAGACTACATACTTGATTTATAAGAATCTATCCTAAGAATGTTGATGGCATTAAATAACCCATTGAGGTTGATATGTCGTTAAACAAAATAAACCAAACCTGACGAACCGTGCTTATTCCTTTTTCGATAAAAACAGCATTCTTCTCCTGGAACAGAAGGGAAGCAGGAGAGGTTCATATGGCTGCAAAGATCAATTACTGATAGATAAAATGATCCTGGAAAATTGCAGCAGTAGACGTAGAAATCTTAGCGTAACGTGGATTGATTAAAAGCCTTTGATAGTGTTCCACATTCTTGGATCCTTAAAACTTTGGGAGTGTATAAAGTCTGCCATGTGGTATTAATTTTCCTTAAGCAGAGCATGGGGATGTGGGACACGAAACTATGCCTTAGTGACACCAGAGGCACTGCCATATCCAACCGTCTGAATATCGGACGTGGAATCTTTCAAGGAGACTCTCTTTCTCCCCTTCTGTTTTGTTTGTCCTTAACCCCCCTTACGCATGGACTGAACAACAGTAGCTATGGTTACAAAATAAATAAGAAAATATTCAGTCACCTACTCTACATGGATGATCTCAAACTCTTTGCCAAAGACGACAATGAGTTGAGAGGCCTCGTCAATATTGTAAAATACTTCAGTGACGACATAGGTATGGACTTCGGATTAGATAGATGTGCAAAAGTAACATTCAAGAAAGGTAGAAGTACAGAAACACCCTTAATAGATTTAGATTTTGTCACAAAGATTAGGGAACTGGAGCATGATGAAGCTTATAAGTACCTAGGAATTATCGAAGGAGATGGCATACGACACCACCAAATGAAGGAAAAAAAAGAAAAGAGTACTACAGGCGTGTACGTCTGGTACTAAATACTGAGTTAAACTCAAAAAACAGAATATCGGCCATAAACACATTGGATGTCCCTGTGGTGCAATACAGCTTTAATGTCCTTAACTTAACCATAGCTGAAATTAGGCGAATGAACGCCAAAACGATAAAGCTTCTCATTTGCTACTGCATGCATCATCCCAAAGCTGATGTTGATCGTCTATATGTGCCCAGATCCGAAGGACGCATAGGATTAGTTCAACTAGAACTGTCTTACAAAACTACAACAATTGGCCTCCAAAGATTCTTGGAAACTGCAGAAATCTATGTAATGGTATGTGTCAAAGAACATGAAAGTAGTAAGCGTCTTTTCTCTGTAATAAAGGAAGCCAACAAATTCAAAATGGACTTACAAATGGGCGAAGAATTACAAGTACAGGACAATACACCGGCTGAAACTGCAAAATACTTAAAAAGACAGCAAAGACGAATGCAGCCGACGAGATACAGAAACAATGGCAAGATAAACCGCTTCATGGCCAATACTCTGCCCGTACCAAACAAGCTGACGTAGACAAAACCCGTACCCATCAGTGCATCAGTGGCTACGTAGTGCAGGGTTGAAAGCTGAAACTGAAGGTTTTATCCTTGCTGCACAGGACTAATGCTTGTTAACTAAGAATTATCAAGCACATATACTAAAATATTGTGTCAGCCCAAAATGCAGATTCTGTGATAAATATTCAGAAACGATAGATCATCTTGTATCAGGTTGCACGATGTTGGCACCCACTGAATATAAAACCCGACATGACAGAGTTGGCCAATATCTGCACTGGAAAATTTGCAACTTCTACGGCAAGGAAACTGAAAGAAACTGGTATGAACACCACCCAGACCCAGTTACGGAGATAGGACCTGTTACAATTCTATGGGACCACACAATACACACCGACAGAACAATCAAAGCCAACCGCCCAGAAATTGTTATTAGAGACCACAAACAAAAATATGGTTCCTTATTGATTTGTCATTGGAAAGTGTCATGATGCCATCTCTAACCTTGGGCGGGAACCGGGAAGAAATGTGTAAACGCCAGAAATCAAAGGAAATATAAATAATAATAAATACATAAAAAAGAAAGCAAAAAACAAAAAAAAAATGCAACCGACCAGATACAGAAACAATGGCAAGATAAACCGCTTCATAGATAATGCTCTACCCGTACCAAACAAGCTGATGTAGACAAGCCCCGGCCCACCTGTGGCTATATAGTACAGGGTTAAAACTGAATCGAAATGTTTTATCCTTGCTACACAGGATCAGTGCTTGTTAATTAAAAATTATCAAGCAAACATACAAAATATTGTTAGCCAAAACTGCAGGTTCTGTGATAATTACACAGGAACAGTTAATCATTTGTATCAGTTTGCACGGGATTGACACCCACTGAATATAAAACCCGGCATGACTGAGTTGGCCAATATCTGCAGTGGAAAATATGAAACTTCTACGGAAAGGAAACTTAAAGAAAGTTGTATGAATACCACCCAGACCCTGTTACGAAGATAGGATCTGTTACAATTCTATGGAACTACACAATGCACACAGTCGGAAGAAACAAAGCTAACCGCCCAGACATTGTTATTAGAGACAGGAAACAAAAAAAAATGTGCATCCTTATTGCTAGGGTAGTCCTTGCGGACTGCAATGTATCTTTGAAGATATTCAAAAAGCCATCAGAATACAAGAAACTTGAAATCGAAATCTCAAAAATGTAGCACATGGAAGCATCAACAAGCCGTGTTGCAGTTGGAGCCCTCGGATTGGTTGGAACAGATTTCAGTAGACTAAATGTAAGGGATTCCTGGAAGCCGATGCCATAAAGAAATACAAAATAACTGTTCTCACAAGTACAGCCCACACCTTACGAAGGGCTTTATATATATATATATATATATATATATATATATGTACACATACATACATACATACATATATATATATATATATATATATATATATATATATATGTGTGTGTGTGTGTGTGTCAATGGAAAATGTCATGATGCCATTTCTAACCTTAGGTCTCTGGCCGGGACCCCGAACGAAATGTGTACACATCAGAAAATCAAAGGAAATAATAATAATAATAATAATAATAATAATAATAATAATAAACAGAGAGGAAACAATCTAGAGCCATAAATGTTGTCACAGGAAGAAACTCTTTCAATAAGGGTGAGACACCTGGTCAACAAACCCTGATTTTTTCCAACCTTAGATCAAGTGATCCAAGGCCAAATAAATTAAAAAAAAAGCGAACGAAATGAATTCGCGAAGATTATCAACAAGTCATGGCATCCATTTACGTCGAACTAGAAAATCCACAAAAGAACAAAACCAATCAGACATACCACATATGAAGACCTACGGTAGAAACTGGTGCAAGACCCTATCTTAACGCAAACAACATGCTTGCCAATGACCGCAGAGACATTGCCCGAATTCAAAGACTCAAATGCGGAAATATTCAGATAAAAAATATATACATATAAGACGGAATGCAATAAGCCATCATTCAAACAATAAAATGATGAGGTAAATGATATAAGAATGAGCTAAAAACTAAAATAAATGAGATACGAAATCATAATCTCTCAGGAAATAAAACTGAAGAATCTATCTGGGACATAAACTGCAGTTATCCAGATTATGCCACAGAAGATGTGTCAAACAACTTTACGGCAGAATTCCTTGAAAACAACTGAGATGAAATCAACGAAGCGTAACATTACAGCATCCAAGTAGTCATCAGAATAACTCTCACAGAAATGTCAACAGAAACCAGCTCCCAAAAGTTCAACAAACTGGTTGTGCAAATATACAACGCTGCACTGCAAACACTGTTAACGGAAATACCACCGGGAAACATCACAGACGAAAATAATATGCAACAGCTTTCGCAGCTTCTGGGAAAGTTTTGTGTCGAGAAAATGAAAAGATCAAATAAAAGACAAAATGCGCCAGCTTGGAAGGCAAAACTGAAACGAGAAATAAAGGAGATCAAATGTGAGTTATCGGTATTAGATGGGATCTCCAGAAATACAAATGTCTCAACACACAAATGCAAGATCAAGCGATGATATAAAATTAAATTGCTAAATGACATTTCATCAAAGAATTAATAAAACAGGAACTGCAGAAACAGAGAACAGACGATACGAAAAGCTTTGTAATTTCTGCCGTCAAAATAAGATATTCCAAAACGGGTCTTAAGAAATTTTACAAGGAAATTGGAAAAGCAGTTATTGATGTCATAAAACCACCACCATCCATCTATCTATCTATCTATCTATCTATCTATCTATCTATCTATCTATCTGTATATATATATATATATATATATATATATATATATATATATATCAGTCAGTTATGTGTCATGCGTGATACACGCTTAGGCGATCATGTATCTTTCGATACATGACTTACCGGGCTGATGTTTTTCCCGCAGTAGGTTGTCACTTCGTTCTGCAGTAGACAATTGCCATCCAAGGCTATAGTACCCGGTCTGTCCTGCTACTTACTCATAGCTGAAGGAGAAGAGGAGGATTCGTACCTTTCCCAAGGGTGTTAGCACGTAAGTGAATTTAATGGATTCGGCTGGAATTCGAACTCGGCTCTCCGATTTCTCAATCCGAGCCGCTATCCATTACTTCACCGTGACCTGGAAAAACACCATCTATTGAAAAAGTGCAGAAATGTCAGGAGGATATTTGGAGCTGCCTAAAAGACTATAACCCCAGTGCAGAGAGGATCCAACGATAAGAACCAATGATGAATAAACCTCAACAAGAATGGGAAATATGACCAAGATTAATGTTAGGCAAGCTCTAAAGAAATCCCAACAATGGAAATCTCCATGAAATAACACGGTACCCAATTTTTGGCTTTATCATTCGCCATCAGTCCATAAATCCCTTTCACCATCTGTATCAATTCTTATTACTAATCCCTGTAGTCCCAGAATGGATCATTAAAGGTATTATATATCTCCTATCAAAAGTGCGTGAAACGGATGATCCGAAAAATTATAGGCCAATTATATATCTGTCCACAACATATAAATTGAGCACGTCTATTCTGACGAACCGTATTTATATCTCTAAGAAGGCAACATTCTTCTTTTGGAACAGAAGCGATGCAGGAAAGTTTCATACTTGGAAAACTACAGCTCAGCATATATTAGGTTGGTGCAAAAATAATGACGTAATAATGTCGTTTTTCGACGTTAAAAATACGTCAAAAAACGACATTATTACGTCATTATTTTTGCACCAACCGAATATAAAATTAATGTAAAGGTCTTTGATAGTGTGCCAGACTCTTGGATACTTAAGACTTTGAAAATATACGAATTTTCTTCAGCGATAGTAAATGCCTTTAAACACCGCATGGGAATGTAGGAAACCAAATTAGATCCGAAATCCCATCAAAGGCACTGCCACTTCCAACCGCCTGAATATCGAACGAGGAAACTTTCAAGGAGACTCCCTTCCACCCCTTGTTTTTTGTCTATACTTAATCCCCTTTATGTATAAACTAAACAATAATAGCTATGGGTAAAAAGTAAAGAAGAAATTGTTCAATCAACTAGTCTAACTTGATGATGTCAAACATTTTGCTAAAGACGACAAAAAGTTGAAAGGTCTCGTCAATACTGTAAAATATCTCAGTGACGACATAGGTATAGATTTCGGATTAGATAAATCTAAAAATAATACTACAGACATGTGCGTTTAGTTAAGAATACCGAGACGAATAAAAAAAAAGAGAGTAGAATATCAGCTATAAACACATTGGCTGCACAGATAGTGCGGTACAGTTTCAACATTCTTAATTGGACCATAGCTGACATTAAGCGAATGGACGCCAAAACGAGAAGAAAAAAAAAGCTTTTCATTGCCACCGCATGCATTATCCCAAGGCTGATGTTGATCCTCTGTATGTGCTCAAATCCGAAGGAAGCAGAGGATTAGTTAGAGGTAAGAAAGGACTACTAAAGGTGTGTACACCTGTTACTAAGTATCGAGCTTAACTCAAAAAACAGAATATCATCCATAAACACCTTGGCTGTCCCTGTGGTGCAATACAGCTTTAATGTCCTTAACTGGACCATAGCTGAAATTAAGCGAATGAACACTTCTCATTTGCTACCGCATGCATCATCCCAAAGCTGATGGTAATCGTCTATATGTGCCCAGAAGGAGGCAGAGGATTAGTTCAACTAGAACTGTCTCACAAAACTACAACAATCCTACTTCTAAGATACCGGGAAATTGAAGAGGACTGAATGATGATCTGTGAGAAAGAACAGGAAAGAACTAAGAAACATCAGTATTAAAGGAAGCCAACAAGTTCAAGATGGAGATACATGTTTCAAAGAAATGCTAATAAAATATAATAAATCTACTGCTGATGCAAAAATATTAAAAAAGGAAGCAAAGCCAAATGCAGTTGACTAGATACATAATCAATGGCAGGATAAACCGCTTCATGGTCAATTCAATATTCTGCCTGTACCAAACAAGATCGTGTAGACAAACCATGTACCCATTAGCGGTTACGTAGGGCAACGTTAACAACTGAAATCGAATGTTTTATTCTTGCTTCACAGTACCAATGCTTGATGATTATAAATTAACAAGCACACATAATGAAAAATTATGTTAACCAAAAATGCAGATCTTGCGATAAATATCCAGAACCAATTGACTCTCGTGAATCCAGTTGCACGTATTGGCAAACGCTGAATATAAAACGGAGCATGATAGCTAATATCTTCATTAGAAAATCTGCAACTTTTACGGAAAGGAAACTGAAAGAAATTGTTATGAACACCACCCTGACCTGGTAACAGAAATAGGTTTTGTAACAATTTTATGGGACTGTATAATACACAGAGAGAGAACAATGAAAGATCATCGCTTAGACATTGTGATCAGAGACCGCAAAAACAAAATGTACCTTCTTGTTGACATGGCAGTACCTGCAGACTGTAATATATCTTTTAAGATCTTCAAAAACTATCAAAATACAAGGACCTTGAAATCAAAATCTCACATATGTGGCACATGAGGACGTCAGCGACACAAGTTGTCGTTGAAGAACTCGGATTGATTGGAAAAGATTCCAATAGACCAGTTGAAGAGATACATTAAGGAAATAAAAGAATTGAACTCTCAAGTACTGCCAACACATTACAAAGTGTTTTAACTAAGTAAAATATGTGTGATCTTAGGGGTTTTTTGCTTCAAAAATTGCTCAGTGGTATATGCTATGATGCTATTTCTTTTGGTTGGGACCCGGAAAGAAATGAGTATGCCCCAAAAACCAATAAAAATAAAATAATAATAATAATAATAATAATAAGAAGAAGAAGAAGAGGAAGAAGGGGAAGAAGAAGAAGAAGAAGAAGAAGAATCTATATAAAAATATGCAAGTGAATAAAAAAGTAAATTTTCCATACATAATTAAAATGTAAGCATAAACTGTAACATATTTTCCATCCACAATGTCATTTGCAAGATCAAAATATTTTTAAGCGTTTCAACCCAAGCAACGGGAGAAGTCACTAGCATGCAAGGGGTTACAGAGAGTTGGAGCGAGAGCAAATAGGAATGATAGAGGAAAGGATGAAGAGAAGGATAGGGGATAGATCAAGGCATCTGGAGACGTCGATTGACATTACATTTGAATAGTTGGAGATTATAGCTATCAAGGAAACAGGAAGAGGGGAGGGAGTTCCACAGGCAAGAGGTGTGAGACATGAAGCTATTGGAGTTGAAGTGCCGGCTACATTTAACAATTTCGACAGTGAAAATGTGAGTGCGAGATGCCGGCTAATAGAACGCTTAAATTCTTGAAGTCTGGAAATAAGCGAAAGCAGTTCATCAGAGTAGTTACCATGAAAGTATTTGTAAAAAAGGCAGAGGGAGGCAACGCCTGTCTGTGAAAGAGCGACTGCAGACGAGATGCCAGATCAATGCCAATAATAATTCAATTAAATTCAATTTTTGAAAAAAAAAAGACAATTGATTTTGTAACATAGGATTCGTTTACGTTTAAATTTTGCATCTACATCTTTTATTTGGTTTGACCTTAACGAATCCTTTCCTCAAATAATAAAACCTCAACATTCGGGGAAGATATAGAGTTGGAACCTCATAGATGTGTTAGGTTATAATTTGTTTACTAAAAAATGAGCAAACAGCAATCGTCTGATTATAAGTACAAAACAGAATAATGTAAATATTTTAAAGTAAAAATTAATTGAAGCAGCTTATCATACAAATACAAACTATTTCAAACATTGGACACAATTGGTCGAATAGACCACAGAATGGATCCGGACTGTTTGAAAATATGCATAAATATTTAAACTTTGTCGAGCATTGGAAAGAATTCTAGTATATTCGATGTTTCCTGACTATCCATGAAGAAAATCAAGAAAGTTTTGCAAAAATTCGAAAAAATGGTTAGCTGTAGAAAAAACAAACTAGGTGACCCCCGAAAACAGGATGAATTTGAGCATTTCAAACACCGAAGAACAATACTGCATTTGATCTCAAGCAAAAGTATCTACTGGTGTGGATATTAATGCAATAATAGTAGAATATGTAGGAGAGTGCTGTCGTATTCTGAAATCTTGCTGTTATTTGATCTTAAGTGAAAACTACCAAATGCTACTTGTCTGAAAAAAAAAATGAACAGAAGAAGAAGAAGAAGAAGAAGAAGAGGCATTGTCGACCATTATATCCTCAACAAAGACAATACACCAAAAAGTGGCGTGTCATTGCCTTAGAGGATTCTGAAATAGAAAAACGGGATGTTGAAAGACAAAAGCTTTTCTAAGTGCGAGTGTAACAGTAACAAGAAAAATAAAAGTTCGATTTCGGCTTCCAAATCGTTCAGGACGAGGTGTCGACAAATGTCACCTTTTATGCCATTGGGAAAAGTGCACTTCAGATTGGCGCAGCTGAGCCAATGTTTGTCAGAATGTTTCGCCCGACAGCAAATAAGAAACCTATAGAATCGTAAATACGACAGAAAAAAAGCACATGAAAAGACCTCAGATACAATTCGATTATTTGCATCTCGAAGGCGATCAGCTCTGATATTCAACCCAATTCAAGGCTTAACGATCGGCCATTAGTTTTCAGCAAAACACAAACGCTGCGTTTGTTGGAGGAAGATGGCAGTTTTGTTATTAAATCGATGGACAAATCGTTAATTTAGAGAAGTTCAGATCTTCCTCGAGATATTACCAGTAGAGAAGAGGAAGAAGAACAGGGGAAAAAAGATTTACAGTGGCAAATAGACAGACGGGGATATATATATATATATATATATATATATATATATATATATATATATATATATATATATATATATATGAAAAAAAGTGGCTCACTGCTGCATCATAAAAACTGGACATTTTACACAATAAAATGTATTTAGATTGTGTCTGAAAACCAGATTCTTTGCAAACCGTGCATATAAATATGTTGGGAATTTTTTCTTAAAATCCAATATTTAACTGGTTATATATCCTGTGATATCACAGGTAGGATCTAGTGAATAAATATGAGTGACTCGTGATTACACACACACACACACACACACACACACACACACACACACACACACATATATATATATATATATATATATAAGAAATATTTTAGTAGTCATATATATATATATATATATATATATATATATATATATATATATATATATATATATATATGTATGATGAAAAACATACGTAAGCAAATAAATACTTGCACGTAAATACATATTTTTTCTAAGGTGTTTGTAAGAGCAGTGCTCAATGTTATTTAACAGAGCTATTAAGTATATATTAGTGACTATATCTTATATCCCACGTCATTAGCCCGACAGAGAGTTTCATGCAAACTAAATACTCACTGACCGTTCCGAATCGTGCTATCGATCTGGGATACTATGTATATTCCCTAATCTATCTATCTATCTATCTATCTATCTATCTATCTATCTATCTATCTATCTACATGTGTGTGTATGTATATATATATTTATGTATACACACACACACACACACATATATATATATATATATATATATATATATATATATATATATATATAACACAAACATAAGGCGTGGTCTATATTTTTTAGATCTAATATGTCGTAGCTAACCAGAAATCCAATTGAACAGTCCATTCAACTTCCGTCTTCTGATGCTTTGACTTCCTCTCCATTGTTCTGTTAACTTCCGGCTGCCGGTAAAATTTGTTTTCTTCTGGTCGCCGGAAACAATGACGCCGGTATTTGCTCACTTATGCCGTGTGTGTGTGTGTGAGTGTGTGTGTGTGTGTGTGTGTGTGTGTGTGTGAGAGAGAGAGAGAGAGAGGAGAGAGAGAGAGAGAGACTCAGACAGAAAGACAGAGTGCGAGGTGGGGGAAGTATTAATACAGAGGTAATTTATGAAATGCAAAATAATTAAAGACTCTAACTTACTCGACTCTTATTTTAATTTATTACTCGATCTATTCATCTACAACGAAACAATCGGCTAATATATGGGATTCATATAAACTGTATTGTAAATGTGCCACCATATGGTTTATTATGCTATTGTTTAAAGTATAACAGACATATCTGATTCTAAATAATATGATTTTATATAACTGCTTTGATAATGATTATACCCAAAGACATAAACAAGGTAGCGATATATATATGCATTGAATTATATGCAAGAAACACAAAATTGACACAACGGAGAGATTGTATGACACCCAACCAGACACAGTTACCTAATATAACGATGTAACTATCCACTAGGACATGTCATTTCAAATTGACAGTGAAATAAAAGCCTATAGACCTGATAACATTATAAGAGAAAGAAATTCAGGAGTTGTGTGCTTATTGACATAGCAATTCCATCTGAGAGAAATACCTCCATGAAAATTATCCAGAAATTATCCTAATACAAAGACCTGAAAATCGAGATTAACAGAATGTGGGAAATGAAGACTGGGGCTGTACCAATAGTCATTAGAACACTCGGACTCGTGAGAAAAGGAATGAATAATTTTACTAACAGTGTTCCAGGGAACAACAACATGCAAGTATCCCAGAAAATCATCCTACAAAGAACATCCTATTTACTAAAAAAAGTGCTATCAATTAAATGAGAATCCTCCTATGTTCGGTGAAAAAGTCATGAATATATTTCTGACCTTAGGTCTCTGGTTGAGACTCGGACGAAAAAATGTATATAACATTAATCAAAGGAAGAAATAATAATAATAATAATAATAATAATAATAATAATAGTTCGTATATATATATATATATATATATATATATATATATATATACGTATATTATGTACATGTGTATGTATCCGCATTGACAGGTATCATATTGTATTTTTATTTTTATTTTATTTTGTTTTCATGGCTACAGGTGTAATTTTCCTACAATCTTACCTTTGACTATCATCTCTTTGAGTGAAAATTTAAATATATATCTTTTAGTGGCTAGTAGGCTGAGAGATGGCCGAAAAAGTATAACTTTTACTGCTTTGCTTCTACCCCTTTGTTTAATGAATTCTTTGATATTACCCCCCCCTACCAATCTGTAGCAGAAGATCCAGCCTACCCCATAAAATTTGATAAGTATCTGTCGTTGGCGACGGAAAATTGAACATTTGTGGAAAGTTACTTTTGCCATGCCCCGAACTTGTAAGAAATGGTAAATATGCCATTTTTGAATGATACTTTTCCTGTAGTTTGATATGATTCTAAATTCTTTTGACTCAAGTTAATTCTTTCCTTTTCAGTTCCCTTTTCTCTTTCCCTTTTTTTTTAAGTCTATATACCAAAATCTGATTATCCTCCTTGGAGTGGTCACTCCGACTTATACTAAGTTAAAATATAGTATCGTCTACCCCACTGAATATCATACACTCTTATGAACTATTCTACCTTTGATATATTAGTAAATCCAAAATCTCATTGTTTGGGCGTGCTCTTGGATCTTCTTCGAGACTCGTCCTAAAGCTGGTAACCTGAACATAATTACCCTTTGGCGGTCAAGGTTAAAACTCATCTCTACTAATTTCAGTGAATACGAATAATATTTCATACCGGATCGGCCGCCAACCGGGACAACAAGGGCCGCGTCCCTCAGAGAGGAACCAGTCTGAGGACGAAAAGTCTGTCACTGGAACAAACACTTCCACACACGAAGAGACACTAGGTGACCAAACCCGGATTATTGCCAACCTTGGACAAAGTGACTCAATACCAAATCGACTAATAAAAAGTAAACGAATGAAATGGAGCCGCGAAGAGTATCGAAATTCATGGCATCCTTCTTCCCTGCACTCAAAAACCCAGCAAAGAACACCACCAATCAAACATATCAAATATGGAGAAGTACGGTGGGAAATGATATAAGACCTAACCTCAATCCAAACATGTTTGCCAATGTCCGTAGGGACATCATGCGAAACAACAGACTCTCAAAGGCAGAAATAGATAAGATAAAAATAGATATAAAATAAAATACTATGACCCATCACTAAAACTCTATTGAGACGAATGTAGAAATAAGGAATGCAACAGAGGATGAGGTGGACGCTAAAGCGAATGAAATACGAAATAATCTCCCAGGAAATGAAACCCAACACTCTACCTTAAACACAACCTGCAGTTCTCCAGAAAATGTACCTGGAGTCATCTTCAGTGACAATAAGTTAGAATTCCTTGAAAACCACGAAGCTGAAATCACCGAAGCGAAAAATGACGTCATCCAAGTACTCAGCAGAGTAACTTTCATACAATTGTCAGACAGAGACCAGCTCCCGAAAATCCATATGACGAATTCCAACAAGCACATCGTGAAAATATACAATGCTGCTCTGGAAACACAGATAAACCACTGGGAAACATCACAGAAGTTAACAACGTCATATACGCCACAGCTTTAGCAGCGACTCGGAAGCTTGGGGTCAAGACAATAAATAAAATTAACAGACACAGAGAAACAGCTTGGAAAACCAAACTGATTCGAGAAATAAAACAAATCAGATGTGACCTTTCTATATTAGATGATCTCACCAGAAACCCTAATATTTCCACACGTAAAAGCAAAAAGATCAAGCGGAAATATAACATTAAATCCCTAATTGATATTCCATCAATCAAGGAAATGCTGAAGCAGAAACTTCAGCTAAAGGCGCAGAGAACAAGACGATACGAAAAACGTTGTAGGTTCTATCGCCAAAATAAAATATTCAGAACAGATCTTAAGAAATATTACAGGGAAATTGGAAAAACACCTATACATGTCGAAAGGCCACCATCGATTGATAATGTACAGACATTTTGGGAAAATATTTGGAGCAGCCCGAAGGAATATAATCCAAATGCAGAATGGATACAGCGTGAAGAAGAACGACTGCTGGATACACCTCTGCAAGAATGGGAAAATATATCCACAGATGATGTTAGGCAAGCTCTAACGAAATCCCCAAAATGGAAATCCCCAGGAAATGACAAGTTGCCCAATTTCTGGCTGTATCATCTCTCATCTACCCATGAAATTCTTGCAAAAACATTATCAACGCTTGTAAATAATCCCAATAAAATCCCGGAATGGATTACTGAAGGTATTACACACCTTATACCAAAAACAACTGAAACAGACGACCCAAAAAATTATGAATTCAATTGATGAAAAAAATAAGAAAAGAGTACTACAGGCGTGTACGTCTGGTACTAAATACTGAGCTAAACTCAAAAAACAGAATATCAGCCATAAACCTATTGGTTGTCCCTGTGGTGCAATACAGCTTTAATGTCATTAACTGGACCATAGCTGAAATTAAACGAATGGACGCCAAAACGAGAAAGCTTCTCACTTGCTATCGCATGCATCATCCCAAAGCTGATGTTGATAGTCTGTATGTGTCCAAATCCGAAGGAGGCAGAGGATTAGTTCAACTAGAACTGTCCTACAAAACTACAAAATTAGCCTCCAAAGATATTTGGAAACTACAGAAGACTGGATGATGGTATGCGTCAAGGAACATGAAAGTAGTAAGCGTCTCTTACTCCGTAATGAAAGAAGCCAACAAATTCAAAATGAAGTTTCAAATGGGCGTAGAGATACAACTACAGCACAATACACCGGCTGAAACTGCAAAATACATAAAAAAAGACAGCAAAGACAAATGCAACCGACCAGTTACAGAAGCGATGGCAAGATAAACCGCTTCATGGCCAATACTCTGCCCGTACCAAACAAGCTGACGTAGACAAAACCCGTACCCATCAGTGGCTACGTAGTGTAGGCTTGAAAGCGGAAACTGAAGGTTTTATCCTTGCTGGGCAGGACCAATGCTTGCTAACTAGGAATTATCAAGCACATATACTAAAATATTGTGTCATAGGCAGATTCTGTGATAAATATTCAGAAACGATTGATCATCTTGTATCAGGTTGCACGATGTTGGCACCCACTGAATATAAAACCCGACATGACAGAGTGGGCCAATATCTGCACTGGAAAATCTGCAACTTCTACGGGAAGGAAACTGAAAGGAACTGGTATGAACACCACCCAGACCCGGTTACGGAGATAGGACCTGTTACAATTCTATGGGACTACACAATACACACTGACAGAACAATCAAAGCCAACCGCCCAGATATTGTTATTAAAGACCACAAACAAAAACAGTGCCTCCTTATTGATATGGCAGTCCCTGCTGACTGCAATGTATCTTTGAAGATATTACAAACTTGTCAAAATACAAGGACCTTGAAATAGAAATCTCGAATATGTGGCATATGGGAACATCAACAATCCCTGTTGTAGTTGGAGCCCTAGGACTGGTTGGAAAAGATTGCAGTAGACTAATTGAATGGATTCCTTGAAGTCCATGCCTCAAGGAGATAAAAAAAATTTTCTGACAAGTACAGCCCACACTTTACAAAGGGCTTTATCTATGAATTTTTTTTTTTTTTTGTC